TTTTATTTTCATAAAAGCCCATTACCAGTCTCTATCATGAGTCAGATAATCATTCCACGCCCTCTAAATCTGTTTCCCTAAGATCCTTTTAATATTATTTTCCTGTCTCCCCAATGCATGCTCTGATCATTCTGATAATATATGGTGAAGAGTGCACATTATGAAGCTCCTCACTATGCACTTTTCTTTTCTCACTTCCATCACTTCTCCCCTCTTAGGTCAAAATATTCTATGTGTAATTTATGAAATCATTAGTCAGTTTCATTATTCAGGTGTGCTGTGTGGCCTGGCCATCTACAACTTCATAATCATTGACCTTCCTTTTCCCCTGGCACTCTATAAGAAACTACTGAAGGAACCAGTGTCACTACAGGATCTAAAGGGATTATCCCCTACTCTTGCAAAGTAAGTGAAGTGGATGTATAAATATATTTGAAAATTTTGCAAAAAAATAACACCGTAAAAAGAGTATCAAATGTGAGCCTTTATATTACATCAAGAGTACAAATTATGAAGCTCTTTAATGCAATTTTCTTTGTCCTGTAATTTTCTGTTCCTTAGGTCCAAATATACCCTTCAGCAATTTATTTTTCAAACTTGCTTATTCTCTTTTCTTCCTTTAAGTTGACAGACAAAGTTTCAGACGCACATAAAGCAACGGAAATAATAGTACTGTATATTTTAGTCACAACAGGGAAATAATAGTACTGTATATTTTAGTCTGTTGGGTTTTAGATGTGATGCAAGACTCCAGATTGAATTGTAGTTTGTGTTTACAAGTTTGATATAATCTTACTTTCATCACATACAAAATGAGTCTAGTTACCAGCTACATTTGCGTCAGAGATTTCCTTCCTTTGGAAAAATATCTGTTCAATTGAATATAAAACAAGAATTTTGAATGTGTTTATTAGTAAATTGCTGATATGATATCCCATGCTTTTCTTTATGCTTTCATCTGAATTAATTTTGTCAGATGAAAACAGTATGTTTTATTAAAATCACAATTATATGATAATGAAGTAGCAGTGGAAGGAATCTGTAATAAGAAAAGTAATTTGTTGAACAAAATATTTTGCTTCATAAATGTTCTGTCTTTCATTCCAGAAGTCTGCAGGATTTGTTGGATTATAGTGAATCAGACCTTGAGGAGGTATTTATCCTTAATTTTGAGGTAACACGGGAAGTGTTTGGTGAGATTAAAGTACAACCTTTGAAACCTGGTGGTGAAAATATACCTGTTACACAGGAGAACAAGTAAGTGAAATAAGGACCTATAAACATAAAGTAAAGCTATCCCACTACACACCATGTAGGTGCTTGGAAGGAAAGGAGGTATAGCTCCTACTCATTCTTAACCTCAGTTCTAGGTAGGGGTGAGTGGTTAGTGTCATGCCCCAGCTGCGCTTCAACCCTGGGATAGGGCCCTAGTATCCATTGGATAGAATGCTGGGTGGGCCTGTAGAAACATATTTATATTTGCAAAGGTTTTTTTTCTTAATATGAATTGCTCTTGCAGGCATGTAGTGCTTAGTGGTCTCATATCATCATTAGAATATAACCTTTGCACCTTGTCCACCGTCTGGATAAACAAGATACATTATGTCTTCAGACAGATCAGAAGTTGTGTGTGTCTATGTATGTACCACATTTTACATCTTTTTTCATTCAGCTAATTGACTGTGCCCAGAAAATTGCCAATATGATCTTTTAGCCTTATCACCTGTGATTTTTCTTTTTGGATCGTAATGTGTATCGCATATTTAGGAGTTCCCAGGAGACAAATAGTATCATGGGTTTTCCCATCTCGGTGTAATTTCTTAAACTTGCAACATGCAGAAGGCAGTAAAGTCCATAAGACTGTACCTAGTGACACTGGCCGCAAAATTATGTTGTAGAGTTGGATTTATTCTGTTAAAATTGTGTTACCAGATTATAGTGTAACATATTGATTAATCTCTGGGTTTTATGTTGACATCAGTTTAGATTTAATTTAGAAATATTTATAGCAGAAATATCTGTTCGTTTATTACACTTCGTGTGTTACTGTTCTCACATTTATATTTTGTTCTGCATATTGTGACTATAGGCAGGAATTTGTGGACCTTTATGTAGACCTGGTATTGAATAAGTCAGTTGCGATCCATTTCAAAGCATTTGGCAGTGGTTTCCACAAGGTGTGTGGGGGACGTATCCTCGAACTGTTCCACTCTCATGAGTTGATGGCTGTTGTAGTTGGTAAGTTTTAAACATTTATTGATTAATCATTATTGCTTTTGTTCTGATAGGATATGAACACACAGATCATTGATAACATTAAATCTCTGCTTCTTTACTGTGAGGCTCAGACTCTAAATTCAAGGTCATTCAGAATCTACTAGAGAAAGACATATTACCAAACATTAGCCCATGTGAACCATAGGATCACCACTTGGTTTAAGTCAGTTTTGCAGAGTTGAAATAAATTGTAGTTTCATTTTTAAATAGACACATTGTGGAAAGAGTAAAATAGTGCCATCTTGGTTTGATGAAGTATTCTCAAAAATATGTGGCTCTTTTATAGAATAGACTGCTTTGTTCACACCACATAAACCTGTAGGACCCATATTGATTTTACAAAGTACATTTAAGAGTAGTCAGAAGATTTCATAGTGAAAGTGGATATTTTGGCTGATTTAATAGGAAATGAGAACTATGATTGGGAGGAGTTGCAACGTAATGCTGAATACAGGAATGGCTTCACAGAGAATGATGAGACAATTAGAATGTTCTGGGAAGTATTTCATGAGCTTCCTGAAGTGGAGAAGAGGAAGTTTCTGCTTTTTCTCACTGGCAGTGTCCGGATTCCTATTCAGGGCATGAAAGCAATCAAGGTGAGACATGCAGCTTAAAAAACTGCCTGAGGAAATTAGGAAGAATTATAACTGACTGGTATGTAACAAAAATAAGTTTTTCCAACAGTTTTTAGTATAATCCCCCAAGTAAGTGCTCCAAGAAAATGAGGATGATGATGTGAAAAGAAATTTAGGAACCAGATTTCTCCTTTGTTTTCCTCATTGTCTTTCACTGAAGGAATTTCTACTTTAAGTGGGGCATCTTACAACAAAGTGTCTCCATGTAGGAAAACAGGTTTATGGACATTTTTATGGGGATTTGGGTGTTCATGGAGATATTATCTAGAAGTTATAAAGCTTGAGATCAGAAGTATATAGAAAAAGAAATCCATTATTACCTTCAAGGCCATAAATTTGTGAAGGAATATTTAGTACTCATATATACATAATCATTGAATCTATAATCAGATTGTTAGTGACACACATTGCGGTATTGATTATGGATTAAGAGCATAAGAGGGAGGTATGATCATTACCATTGCAAATACCATAATGGTATCCAAAATAAAAGTCTCTAGAGCACAGAAGAATGAAACAAATCAGTATATATTATTTGGTATCTTAATTGTTCTCATGTCACATTAAGGAATCTTAAAACTCTTTCAGATTTACATTCAGCCGACTATTGATGACAGGTATTTACCAGTGGCTCATACTTGCTTCAACTTGTTGGATCTTCCACGGTATGGCACAAAAGAGAAGCTCCGTTACAAATTAATGCAAGCAATTCAGCAGACACAAGGGTTCTCATTGGTCTGACCCAACTCACCATCACAGACTGCCTCCAGCTTGCCCCAGTGTGGTTATACTTGTAATAATTCCAATAGGACAAATCTGTATGCAAGGTATGCTAGAAGTCAGTGGTAACAAAGAAATTATGTTATGAGCTAAATATTTTTGCACACATTTAACTAGATAAGGACCAAGTCAGTAATGATCATATATATATCTACACTCGTTTCCCTCATGAAGTGTCATTGACACACATTTTAAAGCCCTTAAAACTTATATGAGTTGTAAAGTTGCAGAATACCTTATGTTGCAAGTGGAGGATACACACTGTAAATAATAGTGATATTAATTTTAAAATGAGTGTGTGCTTTTTGATTATCGTTATCATTGTTGGAAATCGGTTATGAGTGATGTTTAACAAATGTAATTTTAAAATGCTGTTAAACATACCATTGTGAGGTAAAGGTTTAAGTCACAATTTACTAATCCCATGTTCACAGTGCATATTTATAATTTTATTAAATGAATGGTTGGTTGGTGCGTGTGTGTCTAATTATCCCAGATGTTGTTGATCATTATGACCTTTCATAACCTCTGCTGCACCTAGGCAAGACTAGAACTCATTTCTGAGGTGGGGGCACCCACAGGGCAGATTTTGTTACCGCCAGTGGTATGGTGATTATGAAGATAGTCAGCAGAGAATACATAACAGTTGGATGTGAACTCTGAACCGTGGTGTTGGCCTGGTGTTCTTCACTTTCCTGAAGTTTTATCTTTGGCAGTGGTAAAGGCTGAAGTCTGTGAGCAGGAAAGCTGCACACAGCCCTGACTGGGGATCAAACCCATAATGCTCTGGGTGATAGTTTAATGTTGTACCCCAAAACCACCAGGTACCATTAGGTGACAATTTTTGTACTGCAACAAGGCACGGTAGCTTTTCATGCATAACATTGCACTTACTGCAGAGGCTAATAGAAGATGGGTGGTGACAGTTTCACTTTTGTGCCTTTATTTGTTATAAATAGTAATAAAAATAAGTTACAAACTAGACCTGAATGTTTAATCAAATATTTTTATTGTCAGTATCTGATTACCTAACAGCGCCTGCTCTTCTCTGCGTGTTCTTTGTTAGCTTTGCTTTACATTATGGTCACTATGGTTATGCCCCTGTATATTGTTTGCTGAAAGGATGAAAATTATTAAAAGTAAATTTAGCATGACTAGAGCTGTTAGATGGGCCTTAATTGGGTAGCTCTATCAGTGTGGTCAGGGCTCTTTCAAGATCCCTAACATGATCAGGGGTGCACAAAGGATGCAGCAGTGGTCTGGGTACTTGGGGTAACTGAAGTTGTTCTACTAGATGTACCAGCAGATATTTAATTTTCCATGACATGTTACATCTCCACAAAACTAAATAAAAATTACACTCAGGAGATATCTGCCATGAACATAATTGTAATCTAATGAATCAACCATTGTTACATACTTTTAGAGAAGCATAAGGAGAAATTGTTGTAATCCAAAGGACCTTGTCTTATTTTACTTGAATTGAAGAGAAACTGCAAACTAAATGGAACAGCATTTACTGGGAAAGGGCTTACAAAATTTCCAACAGGATACCAAATATTTCTCCTATCTGTCAAATTGTTTGTTGAAGAATGATGACATTCTCTGATTGATTATGCTTTTCATTAAATAAATGTTTTAATATCTTGAAATAAGGTGTGACCACTACATTCTTACCAATTAACAATTTATCATTATCCTGTCATAATACCATGTGCATAAGCCTGAGCCACAAGTGTAGATTGTTATGATGTTGAAGCAAACTGAGTTATCATTTTCTTCTGTAAGGCTTTTATGGCTGTTCTCATAATGTAGTACGACAACGGAAATCTTTAAAATTTAATATTCTAATTGTGAAATGTAGTCAACATGGTAGCAATTATTTTGTCCTGACATAATAATTTTAATTATTATTATTATTATTATTGAACATTAGTTTGTATACAGTGTAATATTTTTCTGCTTAAATGTTGCCTGCACAGCACCAGTTCTGTTACTGGTTTGGGCAGAGTAAGATGGTGGTATCAGTTAGAAATAACATTTTAATTCCAGATACATGTTGCTCTTTTATTGTTTATGTGAAGGAATTTAACCAGTTGCAAGCATTGACCTGCTAATGGTAAGTTTTGTGATGACTTGGGTTTCTGCTGTCAAGTAGAGGTAATGAAAGATTAATCCTTTGGTGAGTACGAACATACCAGTACAAACCGTCTGACATGTACTGGGGACTGATTGCTTTAAGTGCTCAAAGTTCCCTATTTCTCTTGGCATTCTAATGAAACGTGACATAAATGAGGGCATTTTATTGTAAAAGAAAAGAAACACTAGGAGTATTTGTAAGGTTCTTTAATTATCACTTGACAAAGGGTTAATAAAATTTATGAGGTAGAAATATATCCTTTCTGCATACCTCTATTCTAGTTTTATTGGTTTTGCAGGGAACATATGTTTATGTAGTTCTTCATTTCCTAATTTTAATATTTTATTCTTATTGATGGCTTGTAAGTAATTGGTAACGTATTTACATTTTAATTAATTTGATATTTGTTAGTGTGCAAGAATTAAAATTTGAAGGACTGTTCATAAGTTGTCTTCATGTAACCACTCATACAATATTTTATTCACAGTTAATAAAATGTTTTACTGTTGAAATTTCCACAATAGAATGCTAAAATATAATGTTATGTGTTTTCAAAAATGGATAGGCCTGTTTCTATTTGTCTCTAGGTATTATAGTTTTCATTATTTTGTCCTAATAGTTTTATAGTTGGGAGAACTTCAGTAGGTGTATCACAAAATATATTCTGAATCCTTATGGAGGCTGAAATAGGGTTATCAGAATGTATCACAGTTTATTATTTGGAGATGCTGCAGTTTGACATTACTGCTGTTTAGGATTTGAGGGTCTCATGGCATTAAGTACAAAGATGGCTGTCTCCTGGGTTATAGCGTGATGTAGTCGGTAGAAGTTGATCAATGTTTCAGAGGTCCTTGCTGCCTCTATCATCACTGATTGCCTTGATGATAGGGGGTAGCAAGGACCTCTGAAATGCTGGTAAACTTCTACCAGTCTACATCACGCTACAACCAAGAAGACAGCCATCATATTATTAATGTTACAAGTAAAAACATTCAGAATCTGTTTTTCAATTATGATGCTTTTATTATAAATAGAAAAAATATTTTTATAAATTGCATGGTTGAAAGTAGTCTGTTGTGTGCTAGGATTTAGCGTTATTGTTAAGGGGGTGACATATTCAACTATATTTCACCATTATTACCATTGTTCACATATATTTTACTGTAGGACTGTGTTGTTACTTATGGCTTCAGGTGTGCTGAAATAGATACATATACATTTTACACTGGAATCTCTTGAAGTTGCTAGAAACATGTAATTATTAATAATAGATAACACTGGTGGTGTTTGAATGAAAATACCAGCTGTAATTCAGACAGCTACATAGAGAGAAAAAAATTTGTATTGCAGGTTCTGAGTGCAGTTTCTTTCATGAATAAATAACTTTTTGGTGAAACCACACTTACCATTATTTTAGAACATCTGTTGAGAACAGAGTCCTTCAACATTTTATAACATCAGTTCTTTGGCACGTTTTGTTATATAATGAATGATTATCCAGATTTTGTTTTCAAAGTTCTACACAGTGTGTAGATTTTTTTTCTCTCTAATTTTTGCCAGAGATAGAAGTTAAAATTAGTGTTGGCCTTAATATTCTACTTACTATCCCATTCACCGAATATATTCCATAGAATGGACATGTAATTGTAAATGTGTGCTGTTTTAATGTTCTGTGAAGGTCCGTACAAATCCTTAGTTCTAAAGTTTAGTTGCCTCTCGTGTACAATTTTTGACATATCCACTCCCCCCCCCTGTAGATTGTGTGTTAAGAATTTTTACCATTTAATGTTTTACTAATGTTAAATTACTTTGTAGTTCATGCTTTAATTTGAATGTTTGTGTTGTTGTGTGGTGGTAAACAGTATTCAGGAAATCATGACAGTGTTGCAGAAAATATTAATTAGTACTCGTTTCAGTCAAGTAAGTTTCATTTTTGTCAACTTCTGATTTAGACTGAACAGAAAGAGCAGAACAAGTGAGAAAAATGGGCAGGCTGTTATTTCCAGTCCCCTCACCTTCTTACTCATAATAAGGAGATTAGTTGGCGAGGTGTAGCTGTGTTATTTCATGTTATGTATGAATAGATATTAACTAAAATGTGTAGTGAAAATTGAACCTGTCTGATGGATAACATTTGGAACACATCCAGGTCTCATTCTTAGAGCTGTTACATTACAGAAATGCCATGAAGATAAAAGGTGGCATTGTTACTGAATGTTAATTGTAATTTGATTTTCTTGTATTCATGTAAATTCAGTCGATACTACAATGTTGTATCCAGGTTGGAATTATAAAGTAAACATTATTTCCAGCACCTTTCTATCATTTTTTTATGATGGGCTCAGTCTGATGTGTGATTCTTTGTTTGTTTGTTTATTTTATATAAAATTACTTTCAAACACTTACAGTTGGTACAAAAATGTCTGTCTTCTGTGTTATAGCGTCATGTAGTCTGGTAGAAGTTTACCAACGTTTCAGAGGTCCTCCATCATCAGGGTGATGGAGGCAGCAAGGACCTCTAAAACGTTGGTAAACTTCTACCAGGCTTCACAATGTTACAACCCAGACGAGAGTCATCTTTACGCACTGCCGTGAAAACCTCAAATCCTACCTTGCAGATGGTATGTTACAAATCAGATGATTTTGTGTGTGGTAAATACATTTAAGGCACTCAGGACCTTAAGTCAGGGAGTCTCAATATTTCAACACCTGGGGCTGTGTTCACACTGTCTGCTCACCGGCTGCCAAGTTATAAATGATGACAGTTTATTGAAATTGCTACTAATTTAATTACTAATACAAACTGGTTTACATATTTTTTCAATAATTTTCTTTAACAATCCCACTGATTTATTTTTATTAATTGTTCATTTAAAATAAAAACTTCTAAAAATTGTCTACAGAATGATAAAATATTACAGAAATGTATGGATGCCACACAAAACACATTGGCAGGCCATGGGTTTTGAATCCTCTACATTAAAAAACTTGTATGTTTTAAAATGTTTCAGGGTCTCAGATTGGAGTGAACTTTTTGGGTATGGAATCAATTGGCTCAGGATAGGGTCCAATGTCAGACTGTTGTGAGCATGGTGATGGATCTTTTGTTTCAATAAAAGGCATAGAATTTCTTTACTAGCTGAGTGACTGTCAGGTTCTTAACAATTAGTCTGCTCGGTTTGAGTTTGAATATATACTTGAAGTTAATATTGTATATTTCATTGTTCCATGGATATTCCTTTATTTATTTTCAGTGCTGTGCTGTTGACATGTTTGATAATCAGTACTGTGCAGGTTCGCTGAATAGCAACACACCAGACTTGTATTTAGTGGATACCCTAAAGACAGATAAAGCCGTAAAGAGTATCATACCAATTCTGATCTGCATTCAGGATCAAGTAATGAAAATGCACAAAATTTGCTTGCCTTCATTTGAAAGCTTATATATATATATATATTTATATACATAATATTTGAAATCTGCAATACATGTAATAGTACAAATTAACAGTTAACATTGATCAAGATCACTATTTAATTCAACTTCTGTTAAACTGTAAACAAAGACAACAACAAAATAGAGTAAGGAAACAATGAGTTGCTGTTATTGTTTCAGGAAGTTAGGGGTCTCTGTATTTGGCCATGCTTGCTCTACGTTTATGTGCTATTATAACAATTCCTATTTTCGAAAGATTCGTCTTCGTAGTCAACAATACAGTATTGAGGAGCGCTATTTATTAGGGTATAAGCATTTATATTAAAAACCTTCCTTAAGGAATCATTGAAAGTTTTGAACACTATGTATGGTGACATTCAAAAACAGGTAAAAATATTAACACCAGTTTCTAAGAAATCAATCTAGGGAACAACACCTTGGAACTGTGTCACTGTTGCAGTAGCCATATGTATGTCCTGGTTTGAAATTTTCAAAGTAAAGGTAAAGGTAGGAAGACAAAAATGAAGATTTATGTAGTAACAATACAAGATTCATATAAAAAATCACAGTTCCTGTACTTGTCATAAAAATGTAAATTGTTAAAACTGATGAATCTTATAATTGCAGTTACGTCCTTTTAAAGGATTAACCAGATGAAAAAATGTCACTTCCCTACAAAAATATTTTTGTGATAAACTATGACTGATGCAGGCTTAATCATTAGAATATATAAACATACACAAATTCTCCAAGTCTACTTCAAATGCTGGAAAAATACATCGTATCATGCAGTCACTTGCTTCAGAAAGTTATGTTTTGTAATTTTGTGTGGCAGAAGAATGTTGATATTTTATTACTTTCTGAATTATGTCATACTTTAAAAAAGATACAGGAAATAGTATGTGGAATAAAATACTATTAATGATAGATAACCGTAAAGCATAATGAAATCTGCAGATAAAGTAAAGCATGACAACAGTTGCAAGGATTTTACCCTTGAATGTTATACCTGGAGTGTTTGTAGTCAAAGCCTGCTACATGATAGATTAAAGATGCATTGTTACAGGCACAAAAGCCTGAGATGTGCTAAATGAAATGCAGACTGATTGTTTATACTGTCCTTATTCTTAATAACTGTAGTATTAGAGTTACGTATAATTGTGAGACTTCACAGTATTGGATAGATCTTGGAATGGAGGGTCGTATATAATTTTTAACCCCTTTATATCCTCATAGGACTTAGAAGTCCCACCAATTTTATGATCATATATTTTGAAATTGGTAAGAAACAGAACAGTGTGGCTTCAAGTTCTAACATCAATAAATACTGTTATAAAGAAATAATTATTATTATGAATATTATTATTGTATAATTATCTTAATCATATTCATTAATATGAACCTTAACATTATCACTAAGTTAAGTGAAGTAATTTTCTCCAAAGTAAAATTCAAGGACCAAATGTCATTATTTGTATTCAGGAGAACCGCAGTTTGCCAGAGAGGTTTTCTGTGGTCTTTGTTAGGTTCTACAAGAGATGCCAGGGTACTATATTAAAGTGGACAATTCTGCTTCCTTTTGCAGTCCTCCAAACTCTTGATTCTTAACCAATCCATCATACCACATGTGACTGCATAACTCCAAGAGTTGATACGACATTGCGTAGCAGTTTCTTAAACAGGTAATAAAATTCAGGACATAAAGGGCTAGTGTGATAGTTCATAGTAATTTTAAATTCTACAGAAAATTTCAAAACATTTTGCCAGAGAACGAAGCTGTCAGTATCACAGTTATGAGCAAAGAAGTTCATTGAACTTTAGGGCAGCCTGTATATACACTTGTGTTGAATACTTGCTTGATCATAAACATCAAAGAGACATTTGTTGACGATTAAAACAAATGCCTGATTTTCTTTCATGTAGCAGGATTTGATACAATTTGAAAAGTGTTCAAAAAGTTGATGTCCCTTCTTCAATGTAATGCTGCGTTCCAGGGGGAGCTTTGTACGTGGGGTAGTTCGGGGTGAGAGCGTTCTGGGCAAAGAAGGCAGAATAGTCTTTCTTGACTTTCTTTGGACGGAAGGCAGGTCCTTTGGCCAATGCTTTCCTGGCCTCGTTCTCAGCCTCTGCTTGCAGCTTGTAAGCTGATGGTGGCCACTTCTGATCCCCCCTCATGTTTTGTCCAACTCCTTTTGTTGCCGCGGGTTGGGACGTGAACACGGGCGGAGGTTCCTGGCTCACTGGTGCAGCAGCTCGTAGGACGACTGTCGTGGGAGGTGTCTCGTACTGCGGTTGGTACACCTGTTGTTGGGGAGGTGGGTAGAACTGATTCTGTTCCTGTTGTTGCTGTAGTTGTGATGCTGGTACTTGGTCAAATGAATTCTCCCAAGTATTTTGCTGCTGAGACACAGGACCCTGTAAGCATTTATCACTAGAATCCAGGTGTTTCTTTTCAAGACTAAACGTGCATAAATCACTTTCCTTTCCTTTGGAACAAGTGTAAAGTCTAGATTGCAGCCTTCTGGCTGTGCCAACATTCAGTTTTGTAGTGGCTACCAACGTTATAGAGTAACACTGTTTTCCAGCTTCCAATTGTACCCTGAGGATGGAGGCAATGTTTTCCGGGGAATTGTTGGTAGTCACCCACAAACCATATTCTGAACACTCATTACAGTGAAAACCTCAAATCACATACATAATGAAGTTATTTTTTAAGGAATGCACTTAAACAACACTGCAAAGTTGTCGTTCTGTCCGATAATCTGATGTCACACAGTTGAAGTACACGCAATAAATTTCACGTCAGTAAAAGTTTGATGCGGTGGGTAGGATATGTTATCTTATTAGAAATCTCTAAATGTAGAATGAACGGATGGTGCAGCGAGAATTTGGGGATGCCCAGAAAAATTGGTTAAGCCATATAGTTAAGAGACCACAGTTAAGGGAGAGTCTACTGTAGTTTTTCCAAGTTACCCCAAATTAATTTACCCTACGTATAATAAAGATGTTAATTTATTCATAACTTGGGTTGGATACTACTAGTAAGGTTATGTTATGCAGTCCCCCAATTAACCGAGCACTTATTACCTTTTTGTAAACTGCTTGTTCTGCTACAATGTTCTCAGAGTTTTCTGAGGGAGGTGGCCAGGCAACTCGTTTCAGACCTGAAATGGTAAGACATCCACAGTTACTGTTTGCCTGCCCCACCGATTAAATATTTTAGTAACTCAGCGTGTTTCTTCAAAAAAACAAAAGAAATAATGACTGCGCGTGAGTTTTTTTACAAAACTATTGTTCACTTCATGTATCCATACATTTAATGGCTCATGGAAGAATATTTATGAATATTGATTTGTCTTAATATGTGTGTGTAGAAGGAATTCAGTGTTTATTGTATAATTTACAGAAGTTAATAGACTTTCTTTCTGATTCTTACTCTTGAATTCCGAAGAATATTAAGGGTTTGTGAAGATATAAAAAAAAGTGAAATTGTGTTAACATTATCTGTAATTTTCAGGAGTGCATTAAGTTATTAATTTATGTATACAGTGACGCTGTGTTCATTGTCAGCCATTGCAGTGCACAGTTATATTAACCCCCCCTCCCCCCCCGCGACATTTACTGTGCTAGCTGCTCATCACTTTACAAAATATATTATGTGCAGGTACAGATGTGTCAAATTCTGAGTACCATTATGCTTTTTTTTCTGAGGATTTGTTACGGTGACATTATGGTTTAGCATTAAAATGTACCTTGTACTAGCCAGTGATTTGAAGGAGATTACATTATTATATCAGAAATAAATAACTCCGATGCAGACCTTATCTTATACAGTAACGTAGTACTAATATTGTTGGTGATAAACAAATGAACAGCAAAGCAGAGACAAATGTTCTTCCGTAAAAAAAATTAGTGCAAATAAATTAATACATTACTACCAACAAGCGTTCCAAAGTCTTGCAGCCATATTCGACCAATGGGAAGATTCCCAAGAACTATTCTGGAATATTTTGCTTGCCACAACCATTACTTTTATCCAAACGGATTGGCCATTAGTACAGTTCGGATGACAAAACTTAAACTGGCCAGCTGGCCGTAATGAAAAACTGTGACTGGACCAATCAGCACATTTGCTTTTTCATTCAGTTCACTCGACGTAAGAATATTAATTAAGTAGATGAATGGACTGTTGGACAGGTGAGTAATAAGAGACCTGAAACGTTGCCAGAGACCCTTCATAACTAATTTCCCATTTTAACTACATTATAACGTAAACAACGGAGAAAACATAGCCCAAATAATCTAAATGTAAGCTGTCTTGTTTACTTAAAAGAGAAAAAAAGAATTATTTTTGCCAAACAGTGAGTCCTCTCTCTTTTCTATTCGGAATTATGACTAACTCATTTAATTAGTTTTTATATTAAACATGAAATCATAATGTTATGTTCACTAACTTTTAAGTGACAGAAATCTATTAAATAAAGAAGACATTTTCTCCCATCTCAGTGTTTTACTGTGTGAATACTTGCAGTCGAAAAGGCCAGCTGTCAACGAAATTTGATATTAAAATTGACATCAGTTTTGTATTAACCGAGCCCGTGTTTTGGCTAATGAAGGATTTCACATAAGTCCATATAGGCAAACATCAAACTAAATTATAGTTGCTAACATTCATTAAATTGCACAATAGAACCTATGTGATTTCAACGGCTGCACGTAAACTTTGCATCATAAATTTCGTCGAAAATGCAATATTTAGAAAGGAAAATTACTTATTCCCTATCAAATCTAAAACTTCTTGACGATGGTGAAGAGTCATTTGAATAAAAATTTCCTTGGATATTATCCATCGTCTAGTAAAATATAAAATATAAAACGTAAAACGACGTTTCGGAGATGGGACTCTATCTCCGTCTTCAGGTTCCTACTTATTCCCTGTGGCATCTTCAGTAAGGGAAGTTTCTTTAACAAACGTTGGCATCATTCAAATTTTGTGTATCAGACCTAGTTACGACCACTTAAACACTGCATGTGTGCTTACCCTTGATGTTTCTATTCCGCGTTGGGCAGATATAGCACCAACCATTTCTCTGCTACAACTAGCCGTTTCCGTAAGTTAGTTTGAAGTTAGCTCTGTGTTAATATTTATCGACTTTCTGATATGTTAATCGTAAGAATCGATATAGTCGCTTCATGTTCGAGATGTCTTGGATTCAGTTTTAATAAACCAAGAATCAGTCATAATTCAGATCTGTTCTTCAACCACGATTTCCCCTGGTAAACAAGTTGTTATGAAAGAAGAGACTTGTTATACATTTGCCTTTCAGGTACCAGCAGTCTACATTCACTTCCTCCTGCCTACTAAGGAACGAACGAACCAGCTAACTAACCAAACTGTCCTCGACAGCTATCGCCTTCATCCCATCAGGCAGTCATAATAGGTATAATGGAGTTGTACTATGACAGACGATCTATAAGCTACGAGGCAGGATTCGAGGCTGTGCTTCGGTCGTCAGACAGGCACACTCACGCGGAAGAACGTCGCCCACCAGTTCAGTGAAGCGAGGTAATTATTGACACGTGTTAAGTAATTATGTCCCAACAGAAAACTTGGCTTCTGCGGCGATGAAAAATAACTACGACATCCTCAAAGTATCTGAGCAGAGTTGCAATGTTGACATGTGACCGCCTTCCTGGCCTGGCAAAATAACAAACACTGTTTCTGTAACAGGGGCACTGTCTGCATGTAACAACTCTATAAGAACAGCGTGAATTTTGATAAAATTTAATACTCGGGAGTTTTGTTAATTGTCCTTACAGATTCCAATTTTAGTTGGAATCGGACAACAATAACGGGCACATTATATGAGTATGCATGCATGCGTTGCTGCTCGCGTGACGGGGGAATCCCTCCCATGCATTTTGCATGGGGAATCTCCATCCAGGGAATTCTCCTGTCATTCACAAGAACCAAAGGTCAAATTCTGGCGAACGCGACAGAATTTTTATCCTTTGTGTGCATTTCCTAGCTTGTTAATATTATTACATGTGAGGACAACGAGAAGTGGATTTACATTGCGTTACAAATTTAAGAATACGACAGATAATATTAAGTGTCTTCGAAAACACACGATTTGACGAACTCATAAGTCGACTACTTAACTGTAGCTCATAAATCATCCTAACACAGGTGAGACCTCCAACCGGGTGAGTTCAGGTGCTGCCAACAGTCGGCAGGCTGATTACACAGGCTTCTCAAATTAGAGAACAGAATGCCTGGACAATGAGACATACACACAACATAAGCTCACGGACTAGCTTGTTGGTCCACCGCTGTTGCAACATACCGAACAATTTTATCACAAAACAATCTTTTCCTAGTGCCCATTATTATGCGTTCTCACCGTGATGCGCACGTAACGAGTTCATATTACGTATATCTGTCCGCATATTTAAATTCGAGAACCCCTGGACGGATTTTGATTAAATTTGGAATTGTCGCTATGATATTGGACGTTAACACAACTCGAAACTTTTAATTTCGCTCAATCGGTAATACCAATAGGAGAAAAAAAGTAATTTTCGTTGGGCTGGTAGCGTCTCTGAAACTACGTATGATAACAGATATAAAATTACGCGAGTTTGTTAAAATATTTTTTTTAATGTGAAACAATAAATGGCTGCTCCATTAAATCTGTATTTGGCTTTCGGTTTAATGGGGCAAGTAATGAACCATTAGAGCATTCAGAATGAAATGTTGTAAAGAACGCATTCATAAATTACATCTTCAAAATGCGTATTTGTTACTTGTATTGTTATGAAAGGTAAAAGAGTAAAATTCCTCCTTATAATACCTCCACACATTTTTAATCTCGTTCTAGACGACTAGACGGAGGTGAGTGGTCGGCCACCTTTTTGTTCCGGGTACCCACTGGATGGGAAGCTGAGTGAACCCCAAAATCGGTCGTGGTGACGAAGGGAATAATCGTGGTCCCGCCGATGAGGTGAAACTGTATTTAGGACGGGGAACCATTTATAATTTTAGTCAGAAGTGGTCGTTTGCACGATTGAGAAAGAGATCGTGCAATCTCGATGTGGCATGTTCGCTGCACAGGAATGCTACGTTAATCAATGGAGCAGTCTTGCCCTGCTGTGTCTTGTGAATCTGTATCCTGTCTCGTCTCTGCATTCCGCGATACCAATTTCTACTTTCTAGACTGACGCCAGTGAAATGCGATTAATGTACGGAGCCAAGGGTGTGTTGCTTTTTTTTTTAAAACTTCCGAAGGCCGATAGGAGAGAAATAAGTTGGTGATTCACATATTCAAGTGGGTGTAATGTACAGCTAATTCTACTTCTAACCCTTCAGTTTTCCGTTTTCATTGGCGTTTGAGTTGTTTTAGATACACTAGGTACACTAGCTGTACCTTTAGAAAAAATAAAATAAAAGTACTGAACTATTCGAAATATTAGCTGCTCGTGACACCTTCACCGATCAATAGAGTTTTTACTTTTCCTGTCATAAAACGGCGAACTTATATTTAATACAGAAAGCGGTTCAACAGTTTTGTTAACGAATTGGCATGGATATATACTTCCTGTCTGAAGTACAAACCAGTCTTTATTTTTCCAAAATGCTTTCTTTCTTATTCTATATACTTCATTGGGCTGGCATTTATGTGGTGTACCTGATAGATACAAGTTAGCTGTGACCATAAAGCAGGGCAAAGTTACATTACAGAGTAACAAATTATTTTTGTTTTTGTATGTCGTCATATATTGCCCACATTGAAAATACCCGAAAATAAAAGTTATATGTTAGTTTTTAATGTGTCAGTTTAGTGTTAGTGTGACGTTTTCGCATTACGCCATGGAGGCGTGCAGGGATTTGACCTTGAAAGTAAGATAGTGTAGTTGCGTCATATTGTGATTTATTAAATTAAAATTAAATTATTTGGTTATTCCGTCAAATCACAATGTATTTAAAATAAGATAATTAAAATAATTAAAATATCATTCTGTGTTCCATATCGAATAATCGATTTACAATTGTATTAATATTCGATATGGAACACAGAATGATATTTTAATTATTTTAATTATCTTATTTTAAATACATTGTGATTTGACGGAATGACCAAATAATTTAATTTTAACTTGAAAGTAAATAAAATAGGTTAATACATGACAACCCGAAAGTCATCATGTTGAAATCGCTGCGATAACTTAAAATCTTGTAATACGTATAGGTTAAGGGTCATCATAACGCTCCGGACGTTTAACGTTGGATCTAAGGCTTTGTTTTCCGTAGATCTGGTACGAAATGCTTGTCCCTTCCAAGAATCCATCCCTGACTGTGTAGCCCCTAGTCAGTTTACTGATTAATCTGCTTTGCCTGCCTGGCTCATAAAATAAATTTATAGCTCACTAAAGAATTTAACGGGTTTAAAACGCCTCGCGAAAGCTTCAAAGTGTGTATAAAATCTGATTGATGGATTTTCAGAATGTCAAAAATAATTTAAGGTTAGGAACTCGGTTATAACGTCCTGTCAGACAGCCCTTCATAGCAGGTCCAGGTAGAAATTTTTGTGCACTAAAGTTCTGTAGGAGAAACTTTCAAAATAGCTTAACACAACAACATACGTCCCAAATATATCTCGACTGCTGGCAAGTGTTTCGGTCTTGAATATTCATCAATCAACAGCTATGAAACTGAGAAGCCAGTGGTCCTGCATTCTGTACACATTCTTTTTCCTTTTCTTTTCTTTTTTCTTTTTCTGTAGCTCGCATGATTGAAATCGTGTTAACGTTGCACTCATATATAATTTAACTACACGTAGTCTGTGTTTCATCTTCCATTATTTACACTTCTGTTATGTTCGATAGTGCCCATTGTATGAGGTAAATTTAATACAGATGACGTTTCGGGGATTCGATGTAATCCCGTGTTCAGATTACTGTCATTGTAATTAATTTACTGATGGTGCGGTGATTAATATACGGGCTTCATATTCCAACGGGCTTGATTCGGACCCCAGCCATTAACACCGAACACAAAAGAACAACAAAGTTTCCTTTAGCATAATAATCAGTCACATTAAAGAAAAGATACAATTCCTGAAACATTCTATACATTAAATATATTTCAGAAAATAGGTATTATACAATATAATTCGCTTGTCTCATGTGTTAGGCAATTATTAGTGTTTTTGCCTTTTGGGGTAACTTACAGTCACTTTCTCGGATAACGTCAGTCCCATTTTTACGAAAAATTAAAAGTAATTGTCGTCTAAATGTGATGATAGAAACGTTACCTACGTTCAACCTTTCAGCACAGTAAACTTTACTGTAAAATATCTTGAGTTTTAGTTAATTTATAAAAATAGTTGATCCCCTTAGGTAGGCCTAAATAACTCATGCCACGGCTTATGAAAGGATAGGTTTGCAAAAATTGGATTGTTTTCTTTTTACTTTTTTAAATAAACTTACACAGAAAGACGTTCGTATTAGAAAAGTATTAAAATATGTGACCACAAACTAAACGCGCTATATCATTATAATGTTAGTCTCAAATACAATATGAATCGTTACTACAGAAAAAAATGCAGACCTTTATAATTTCTATTCCAAAATTCCTCTCGCTTGTACAAATTTTAGAATTGCTAAGGTTCGGGAATGTGCCGCGGTTGTACAGAATATGAAGTTAATATAGTATAAACCTGGTACAAGAACAAGAATATGTAAATTTAACTGTGTTATCAGTCTAAAGGTCCATCTAGCAGTTGCATTCATGATTCCATTTTCCTAATAGCAATGTATCAGAGCGTTAAGAAATGCCATACCGTGTTGATTTATTTTAAATTTGCCAAGTAATGTTACGTTGACCCCGATTTAATTTCATCGAATGTTATAATTAGAAAGAATTTTTAACGTGCAGGTCTCTCTGGATCCTGAGTTATAATAAAATAATTCTTTATGCTCTGTCATAACTATACAAAGTATTTGAGATTATAAATACGACCACAAAAATTACGAAACTGTTTGAAAATCCAGTGTTACAAGGACAGGCTAGAAAGCAACCGATAAGAAACAATGAAGAAGTTAAGCAAATTTGCTTAAACTACAAGAAATTCTTACGAATGAAACCCGACTTATACCAGAAAATCGTTTTTTATCACCCCGAATTACGAAGTATTTCGAAAGTCATGTCTTGTAATTATAAGAAGACGCGATTACATTTGGATTACCTTCTCGTTCTTTGTTTTCACCGATGATTTGTCTACCTACGAAACAATACTTAATAAGATGACGGATAACTGCTACCCGCTACTGAAGGAAAAGAATTCACTTGATGATTTCAGTTGGTAGGTGATTCAGAATATCTCCGACTTTCGCGGCAGTCCACTGCTAATATGGATTCTATATCTGGGTCATGGCACACCCTGTATTTACTTACAGCGTAATCGATAGAGCACCTTCACTTGCAAACAGGATGGTTATATTCACTGACCAAACGAAATGGGTGTTACCTTCGGTGCGCGTTGTGTTCGTGAGTTAAAATATGTTAGCAGTTATTTTGATTATGCTTATTTAAGAAGTCAATGATTTATCGTATTTTTGCATTTGCCTCAAAGTATATTAGAAATAAAAGCGTGTAGCGAACATTTAATGAAGCAGTTACTTAGTAAAGACGCCTTACCCGAAGGTTGTAGGAAAGAGGACCGCAGGTCGTCTAGTATGTTCTCCTGCACACCAAGGAACTAAAATGCTAAACCAGATATAATAATGGGAACTAGGCCAAAATGTCTCAGCCTACATGGCGGCAGGGGGTAGAGGAGAGTTGTACCGTAACACAGTTCGCACGTAAGTATTCTGCAAATCACAGTATTTTGGGTTTGGTGGAGAGATGTTTACAAACAACGCATGCGCGGGTCTGTTTGTGTGTTGTTTCGAAGGTGGTGGAAGGAGAAAGTGGGGACAGATATCTGTATTAGTTTTTTCCCTTCTTTTACCTGGCAAAGTGCTGAAATAAAAAGTCGAGAAGGAACAATGTCGATATTTGATGTCGTTGCTAATGCCATGGATGCGGTGGCCAACATCCTTTGGTGGCCACTCGAATTGATGAAGGCTTCCTCTAGTGTTCGTCCCTGATATGTCTTCTTTTTTAGTACCGTTTTAAGAGAAATATATTAGTAAAGAATAGAAAGAAGGAAATACAAAGTCAAATAAAAAGATAGAAAAAACAGAAGTATTAGTAGTTAGCAACAACAGTCCTCAGCGAGTTGATCTACCAGATTTCTTCGGCTCCAGATGCGTCAGTTGATGCAGAAACCACGTGATGACGTAAGCATGAATGTGCAGGAATAGCAACTTCAAATCAAATGGCTTACTCTTTAGGATATTTGTTTAGTGTAAATGTCTCGAAACCATTTCGTGCGCGTTTGAATTTTTGAGTTCGTTTTGAAAGACTTGGAAACGATAAACTTTCAGTGACAAAATCTCTGGCGTAGACACGAAATATTAAGCCAGCGTTTGTTATACTTAACATTGAATTAGTGTCAATCCTAAATGTAATCCACCCGTAGTTGTTGTTCATGAACTAACTACACCCACGATGCAGTTCCCTCTAGTGAAACAGAAGTCACGCAAATTTTACAAGCTGAATTTCGGACAGTCGTCCGTCTACTGAGCGCAGAAATTTAACCAAAGCAACCCGACGACGAGATACAAAGTTTTCATACGATTTTACGTGTTACATTCTGGTCTGTGAAACCTCATAATGGTAGACGTTTCCGACGTTTCGGAGGAATATTTTGTATTCAGGTATAAGTTATGGGAAAGTATCAGATCTAAATACCCCGTTACTACAAGGCGTCAGATTCCACGACGAAACGCCGGAAATTTTAAGCAAAACACTTCTTAATTCTACAATCTGATTTGGCGTTAATCGCCATTTTCCTGTATTGATAATAAAAGAAACAAAAGAAACCGGTAATGATCTGCGTAAACAGCTTCATTCGCGTTTGCAAGAAACGTCCAGGAGATTTCACATGTGCAACGGTCGGAAAATAAATATGAGGAAAAGGAGGGACGGAGATGAGGTGAGAATGAGGGATTAAGATACGAAATAAATCATTCCCCGTTAAATTTAAACGGGTTTTATCACTTTTCTCGAAAAAAAATTTGAAACTTTACATCCTGCTGACAATAATTCCACGGAAGAAAATAAAGCAAATTCCACTGTTGTTGCACACTTATTTCTGTTTATGTTGGACGATTTATATAAGACTACAAATATTTGGCTTTCAGAAATCTTGATGCACTCAACTGAGTCATTAGGAGACGTGGAAACAAGATGGATGACTCGTCCGATGGACAAACCGGTCATTTACATAAGACGTATGTACTCATTTAATATTCCCGGATTAATATAAATTAAGCTAACTCAAAATGGAGGTTCCTACAACTTGTGTCTTCTTCTTTATTGGTTTTGAAGAATGGCATGTATAAGCGATTTATTTCACCAAAAACTTTGGAATCACTGTTAAGAGTTGATGAAGAAACTGTTGTAACCATTTCAGCGAATACGTATATAAGCCTAAAATGTTATTTCTCTTCACTTCCGTACACATTCGTTTCGTATTGGAATTATCTCAAGTCCCAGAGAATAGCTTACGTATTTACAAAAATTCTTACGTATTATATTATTAATGAAACTTTCATTACGGAAATTAAATTTCCGATCCGGCATGTCAGTCAAATTATGACATTACATTATGACGTTACAGCATAAAATAATGTAAAAACATTCTTCATATTTATCACCTGCATTGTTTTTACCACTGCAAGTATATTCAATTTAGATAAGAAAATAATTATTACTATCGGTACCAGCACATTTCGAGTATGTAAGTGCATTTGATCTTGGTTATATTCTACGCAGAAGAGATGCTTTCCAGTGCATCGTCCAATGTGAGCCCTGGTTCCACACAGAGAATCTAATTGGTTCGACTGGACTACTTGTGCATTAGAGAGAATCGGAGATAAGACACTAAAATACTTTTCCTGCTGGGATTGAGAGTATGTGAAGTGGTAATTATGTAAATTTGTACTAGGAAATACGCGGTTCGAAACTCGTGTGTTCCACGTGCTATTCTGGCCTATGTTTTACGTGGTTGTATAGCCTGACAGAGCAAATGGCATGATAGAATCTTAAAACAGGCCACGGCCAAATTAATCAGCGACGTAGTCCGGGCTCCAAGCATTCACGGACTAAGGTGTCAGCTTATGCATGGTCTATGGTGCTGTACATCTTCTCTGGACCTCTGTTCTTATTTACATCCTCCACTTAAGAATCTACCCTCGCCTACGTCACACTAATAATACTACGGCGCATACAATAGGTTTCTGAAACTTATCTCTGAAGAGACAGGTAGCAGAATCCTTCGCCATTACCTTCTCCGAATTCAAGTCTCTTTTTTCTCTCTCTCTCTGCTTTATATCATGAAATAGGTTATAACCATTACCTTGGAAATTTACATTAATTCATAATTCAACTCTCCTGAAGGGGTGATTAACTAGAGGCAGAATATTAAATTAAACGTTAAGTAATTTTTCAATAAAACATCCGTCATCTTCCTTCTTCTTAAGCTCCCTCATGGAAATGACCGGTCCATTTCACGGACGTCAACTCGCTGAGCCTACCTGGTAGTTTGGAGTAAATTCTTACCACGCAAAAATAAACTACAGAACATACCTTTGCCTCCTCGTTGCCTCTCTTCCTCCTCCAACATCTTGAGAACAGCAGAATTTGCCAAGTTTGGAGCTGCAAGTTGATGGAAGTCAATTCTGCAGGAGATGAAACCCACAAAAACATATTAAAAAGGTAACCAAGGTCGCGTATAGTAACTTTCACATTCACAGGGTCTAACACACCATTCCGCCAGCGGTCTCTGTACTTGATACTCTACCTTCAATTATCTTGAATTATCCTTCTCGATCTAGGTCACTGCACTTTCAAACCGTTGAACCACTAAAGAAGTTCGGACAGTGATCCTGTGTGCGATGTGTAAGGAATACAGTGCATTAACTCTTACTTAAATATTGTATAATGCAAGCCGCGGATTTGAGCAGCACACAGTGTCGTCTCTATGTACGCAGATGTAGAGAACTGTATTGCAAGTGGAGAGCTCGCTTGTTTTATTACGAACAAAAAACCGGCTCTTGCTAGAGACCTTGGAGGTGAATGAAAACTGTGTTCCGACGGTAATTGCAGAACTGCTTTTTTGTTCCCAAAATAAATGCATGAAATTATCTGCGCAAGGCATTTCCGTAACTGCACAAACACGGCGAAGCCCGCAACGCCAAACATTTCATTTCGTGTAGTCGAGGAGAGCCCCAACAGTTCGTGTAGAGATGTGACGGACCAGTTTCGAATCTTGGCCGGATTATAATCTATATTGACGGAAATTATTGTTAGCCTGCATTACCATCAGAAGGGCAGGGAGTGCATCCTTCAGAATCCTTATCTAATCACCTTATACGTGTATGATCATCGTCCCACTCTGCTAACCTTGTAACTTATGTAGTTGAGACAGCGTCGCATACTGACCAATGAACCGACCAAGCAATCAGTTATCTTCAGAGTAGATAGTGCGGTTCGTACTTGGAAGGTCCTTCGAGATGATCCTTTGACTTCTCTTTCCACTTATCGATATCAGTGGCGGCAAACTGTCTTTTAGGAAAAGTGTAGGTTTGCTATGAACTAACCGTGGGCCGGAGAATCCCATGACAGAAACTATGAAGTTCAAATTGTTAAATAGCTATCTGTTATTCGCATAGAGTGAATATGCTGTATAGACATAGTTTCAAATGAGACGATTAATTTCTCTGCCGCCATTTTGTGCGCTTGGCGACCATCAAAGACCTACGCCTACGTCTTAGGTTTCTACTGCGTAAGTTTAACTAAGCGGTACACCTTTTGACCTGTATTAGGAACGTCCCCTTTTGAAAATGTGTTAGGGCTCCAGCGATTCGGACCCCCTCTGCGTGGTTTTCCTCCTTTCCTGTGGTCCATTTATAGCAGTTGTCCCTTGAAAGAGTCTATGCCCACGTAAGCCTCCACCCACTAATATTTATTCAGTAGTTTCCATCAACGCTAAATAATCCTTGTAGCTGAATAAGCGTCTTTAAATAGGATTTGAATCAATAACGAGTCTGTGTAAAATCACACTTCAAAAGTAACGGTCATTTTATCGTAGCCTTCGTGAGTTCATGTTAGACGCCAGTAAGGATCATAAACTACCAATAACGCAGATAGAATTAAATGTATGTTCACATTCCGTCACCAGAATTCACAACAAAATCACAGTATTAAGATAGCACTGAGAAACATAAATTATTTTCTTATTTTTTACGTTAACTCGTATATGTGTCTGCTTTAGTGTCGAAATTTTCGATGAATTTGTTTTAAAAAGTCATGCGTAATTAGGTGTTGAATTTGTATAATAAATTTGCATTATAAAATATTTAAATATATATACATATCACTGTGTCAAACGTCACTTCAATAATGAAATCTGTCTAAACAGATATCACAATAATTTTAAAAAAATAATAAATAATTTTTATCACGTGTGTCATAAATATTAGACGACAAAAATTGGAAAGGCTAAGATAATTAAGTACGTGGACTTAAAGTGAATGTGTGAGATTAGCAAGTTTTGTGTTGGCATTGCCATATTTAAGCCCATGAGACATCATGTTGTAATTTTAGATTTGAAACTCACCCAAACACACAAATTACTCATATATTTACCACAGGCTAAAACTTCGTTCTGCTGATAATATCCACTTGGCTTAGATCCTGAGGATGTTAAGTTGTGTTTGAGAGGTAATGGGGTTCGAATCCTCCGTACAGCAACCCAGACGACTATCGTTCGAGGCTCCGGCTATGTGACTGCGTCTCCTCTCGCGGTGATGGCTGAATCCGTGCGCTCCCGTCACCTTGGAGACGTGTCGAAACCCACCCCCTCCCCCCTCCGTTCGGTAAGTTGTCATCAGAACTGGAATATCCCATATACTGGCCCGCATATTTTGCTGCCCACTACGAATGACTTTAATTTCTCTCGTTACTGAACGCACAATAGAAATCCTGGTATCACGTGAGACTGTTATTCAGATATACATTTAATTCTTTCATGTGCGTTGTATGCCATGTCGCTCACCCCCATCGATTTAAAATCCATACCAAAATTTTAGTCGGAAAACCTGTAGAGGAGTGGCTTTAGAGGTTTAGGCGCAGATGGGAGGATAATATTAAATTGATCTTAATAAAGTAGCACGTGAGGATGTAGACAGAGCAATGGCGGGCTCTTGTGTACCTTCGGGTGCCATAAAAGACTAGAAATTCTTTACTGGCTTATTGAAAGGAGTTCTTCTCCATAAAATTGCTTAATAATTAAATGTCTTGAATTAAATTTATACAAACTGTTCTTAAAATAAGACAAATCAGTGCAAAGATAGCGGTAACTACGTTAGGTATCAAGATTACTTGATTCCTACGCATAAATTCCGTTTTGGCCCTTGTTCATAAAAATATTTATGTATTTTCGTATTTATTAACATTTATTTAACGATGCCTAAATGTCTTGAATTAAATTGATACAAACTGTTTTTAAAATAAGACAAATCAGTGCAGAGATAGCGGTAACTATGTTAAGTATCAAGATCACTTGATTCCTACACATAAATTCCGTTTTGGCCCTTGTTTATGAAAATATTTATGTATTTATTAACATTTATTTAACGATGCTGTCAATATCTCAGCGCGTACAAGCTGGAAGAAATAAACTTAAGTAGACCAGTTGATGCGCTGCTAATTAGACGACGTATGTAATAATTAAGCAAATTATATGCATCAGAGCGCAATTCCTTATGCTGAGATGCATGTAGCTGAGAGTAAGGCCATGGGAGCGGTGCACTCATGGCAAGAAGACACACTGCTTTGTTCTCACATTAAACTGCACTTTCTCTCTGTACTAGTTACTTTTAACAAATGACGGTCACTATGCGTCCTTTGCACGGTGTTTATGAAATATATGTGTTCGGCTGTTTAAATTCGAGAACTGCCGGACGAGTTTTGACGAAATTTGTTACGGACGTTATGTCATTAAGGACTGTTCTAAAATCGTATTTTTTAAATTCTTTTAAATACGTAATACCACCATGGCGGATACACGAACTTGTGAGGCGGAATGGACTTTAAGCTCAATTTAATATATGTTTCAAAAATTCTGCATTATGATTATCATGAAGGCGGTAGTTCACGTTGTGCTATACAAAACTCCTGGAATCTACGTGGTAAGGAAGGTACCCTCTATTTGCATTTGTTTATAACTTTCTGTCAAATGTTTGGCAGAAGTTCTTGCGATATGTAATCCAAAGTATGCGCTATAGGCTATTGATGATCTGAAAATAAACCTCATCTATCATCAATATTTACGGACCTGTGATCGCGTTGAAGGTGGTGGATTAAATTCCCACCTACTAACAAATATTCACTTTCGTCAACGGTGACGAACATTGTCGAATTATTTTACAGTTACATTTGAACACACGAAATAAATAGTTATTGCTAAAGATACGATTTTGAGGCTTTTGAAAACACATCGGCGAGATCCGGCCCGTGTACACGGTCGTTTCCATGCCTTCAAGATGTTTAACTACAGACAAGATGCTTTGAAATGAAAATGTGTATTTATCGTAAGTCAGTCAATAGTATTAGAATTTCGGTGCAATAGCCCACGCTTAACACCATTAGACACAATACTGAAGTGGTTTGAACCAGGACACACTGCAACTATCAGCTTCTTATGAAACGTGTTACTGGCCAGGTTGTTTGGCTCTGATGTTGTAGACTTGAATCTTGTTCGATTCCCAACCGGATTACAGGCTATTCTAATTGTTCGTGCTTTACCTCAGTTTATCTAGGAGAATATTGATAACAGAGCTCGCTTCCGATCTTCGAAGAGGACTCTCACAAAGACGTTTCCGAAATAAATTCTTCTATGAATTTGTTTCCTCATTGTAACTACCTTCTGAGAAGTGTTAATTTGGGTTATTAAGCTGTTTCGCGTTACTACTTTTTTTTTCTCTCTCTCTCTCTCCCCCCCCCCTTCCAGTGTTAATCCAGATATTTCTCTGAACATTTTGTTTTTAGTAACTATGTTTCAATTCTGTCGAAATAAGAGAAGTTGTTTCGCCAGTGATACGTATTAAATCAATATGCAATGCTAATAATATGTATTTTACTTTATATGTTCATAAATTTCCCACCATTCGGTTTTTATTTACTTGGTGAAGATGGTATCTCAATTTGTTCCGTATAGTAATTTAGTAAGAACACAAGTCAAGCAACAAAATATGAATTGCATTTCCTTAACAATGGTCAATTAGAGAGATTGATGTAAAAACAAATTATCACCAGTTCGAATAATGAGAGATCTTTTGTATCACAGCTGAGGTAGCATCGTGTCGCCGTGTTGATGCGGCAACTTCTCCGTCACGTCAATCAGGCGGGACAGTCTAAACGATCAATTAAGGCGTTTTCCTTTCTCGGAGGAATCGCAGTTTGCAGATTTTCTTAATTGCATTTACTCTGCAAAATTCGAACATACCTTCTGTAATATGTAATATTATTGTTATCTGATGCACTGCAGCAAGAACCTAGTTTACATAATTCACATCATAATCTTCTTCCCGCTATTCGTTCATCAGAATATTGGTACTCAAATAATTTAAACTTTCGTCACCTTTGCAGTAAGAAGCACGTGCTAGTATTGTTCCCGTCATATAATTCTTTATTGCAGTTTGCAGCGCTTGAAAATGTTGCTTTTTTTAGTCACCACTTGTTAATCGCCTGTACATAAACCATAAGCCGGAGTTGAATGACCGAGGTTCGAGGCAAGTGCGTGTTACAGATTTCTGACTCGCGTGTGGTACTGAGGTTTTAGATTTCTTGGAACTTTGTATTAATCATCTCTGCACGTCTTTACGGTACAGTCACCCTTTATCGCTGCATAACATAACACAGCTTAGTTCATAAAACAAGGTAAAATAATATAAAACTTCGGCATTAGAGGATGGGCCGCAAAGAATTTTGAAAGTTGTTGAACGTTTCGGTAAACATTTTAGATTCCATCTTCAGGGTGAATTTGTTGGTTGGACGTTTTAAGCCTTACATAGGCTAGGTATGTAGCAAGTGTCTGATTGGCGGAGGTAAAATAAGTTAAAGTTATGCTTAAGCAACATATCCTGAGGATATATTGACGCTTTTTGGAAAATCCCCAGCTGATCTTTGGGTAGGAGGCTGACTGGACACCGCAGGTGGCTTAAATGTGATGGCGAAGAAGTTCTTTTGTCCCTCATGGGAATAGAACCACGATCGTCACGATAGCCAGTCAGTTCACTAATTTAGCTATTCTAGCTAACACGTAAACCAAGAATCAGTATTTTATTCTGTTAATTCTTTAACTAATTTCGCATGATGTGTATAACCTACTTTTATTCGAAGCCTCTAAAGCACTGTACTGTATCCATCCGTCTAATTTCAGATGTACGAAGTTGCATGACACATGAAGGAATCCACTCCGGAGCTGACAGTTCTGTTCTAAATCTGTATTCATCTAGTTTCACCACCGAAACCGATGAATCACAGTCACCGTAGTTGATACACACATCATAATAAGTAGATGTTATTCATCGCGTTTAATTAGGTCTACATCTGAATGAAAATATCTCAGGGCTTCGACTGTTTTAAAGATTCAGGAGGTGTGGTTGACATCCTATCCGTAAACGTGGGGTTCTAGGGTCATTAACCAAACTCCGGCGTGTGTAAGAAACATGAGATTTGTGATGATCGTCTGTTTACTTTCCATGTTGTTTTAAATATATTTTCTTAAAAATAAATGTACGTTTCTCGGTCCACTAAACCTCCGACTCTTCGAGGAGTGACTCATCCGCATGCCAAGTCTCCTCTGACTCTGACGCACGGAGCGATGACGCTTGAGAGACGCCATCTGTCGTCGTCGGACGGAGCATCCTCGTACTTGACCCTCGTTACCTAGCACTTAACAACCGACAGGGTTAATGACATTCAACTGTAGTACTTTGTGTAATAAGTAAATAAAAGTGCGGACTATTAAATGTAATCCCGTCGGCACGATATCTGATACTACTACTTTAATTCATTGACAAATTTCGTCTCAATGCTTTAAACCCTACTGCTAACTATGTGTGCCACTTGCTAAGCAATCAGTAAAGCTGCACTTTTTATTTATGGAATTCGTATGATTCCCACCTTTCACATCGATTATTTTAATGGTGAAGTGATGTGTTTACTTTGCGGTATGGACTGGATTATTAAATATTATTTAGACGAGCTCCCTCTTTAATAGAGTAATCGTCGCATATTGAAGCATTACTTTTTCCAGGTTATTTAATTACGATGTTTGTACTTGATGAATTTTATGGCGTTAGAGGAATGGGAAGAACTTCTTGAAGGGTTGGTTTACGCTATGAGGATTTGGAACGAAGCTGTTGTATATTTTAACATGTCATCTCGCAGTTTCTTGGAGAGGCAAGGAAACGCAGGAACAATTTGAAAATTCCTTGTGGCATGATCAATATTCGAAGTAGGTACGTCCCGAATACAAGTATTAAAGCTACATTTGAATATTAATTTTGGGGATTTTAACGTGGTTATCAGTAGCCCAAACTTTTGAAATGTGGTTGACTTTTTATGTGATTCATTTGTTTTAGAGTTCTCTAAACTCTTGACTAATTCATTTAATTGTGAGTACACACATATACACATTCATCATAAGGTATAATGACATGGTGTAAGCGACGTTGTCTCAAAACCTAGTCACATTATATTTTTGTACTTACAAACTATGAGTATTTCAGATGGCTCAGACCTAGATAGGTTGCCAGTGGATTTATTGGTTCTAGTCCAATCCCTTAATTCGGTGGGTCAGAGTAGCTATTTGTCAGCGTTTATAGAAAAGGCGGCAGGTGATTCTGCACTATTTGTCATACCGTGAGGGACGCATGTACAAGGCTTGCATGTTCCGAGGTCTTCATCTTACGTCTATTGGCCGAATTTCTACACTGCATGCTGTTCACAGCGTTTTCGACACTTGGTAACACCGCACTCAGGCTATTTTTTTTAAATAACTAAGTTTTTGCCTTGTCTGTGCAAACTACGGCTCTTGGATAACTGGTATTCTAGTTTAAGAAAGAAAGCAAACCTTTTTCAAGGAAAAAACTGTCGTCTGAAATATTATTTTCTCATAATTTAAGCCTAAGTTGTGAAAACCTCTGAAGAAACCAGCTATTATGAGTATCAAAGACTGACGCTGATTGGTTCAACTCTCATCACGTGATACAATGCTTATTTATGCATGAATGTTATAAAATCTTCTCGGGCGATCACTTGCACGAATGTTGAATCAAAAACCGACGTTTTGGAAATATAATTAGTTTCCGACATGGCAAATCGCCCGAGAAGATTCTGTAAGTTAAAGTTTGTAATAGCTCGATTAGCACTCGCCCATCGTCTGGTTTGAATCGTGGCTTTGTTTAACTGACGAAATGAGGTCTGTTTCGTCTCTGACATAACGCCTTGACCGTGATACGCCTGTACTCAGTGAGTCATTTCAAGCGATCGATAAGCCGGAGTTGAATGACCGAGGTTCGAGGCAAGTGCGTGTTACAGATTTCTGACTCGCGTGTGGTACTGAGGTTTTAGATTTCTTGGAACTTTGTATTAATCATCTCTGCACGTCTTTACGGTACAGTCACCCTTTATCGCTGCATAACATAACACAGCTTAGTTCATAAAACAAGGTAAAATAATATAAAACTTCGGCATTAGAGGATGGGCCGCAAAGAATTTTGAAAGTTGTTGAACGTTTCGGTAAACATTTTAGATTCCATCTTCAGGGTGAATTTGTTGGTTGGACGTTTTAAGCCTTACATAGGCCAGGTAGTAGGTAGCAAGTGTCTGATTGGCGGAGGTAAAATAAGTTAAAGTTATGCTTAAGCAACATATCCTGAGGATATATTGACGCTTTTTGGAAAATCCCCAGCTGATCTTTGGGTAGGAGGCTGACTGGACACCGCAGGTGGCTTAAATGTGATGGCGAAGAAGTTCTTTTGTCCCTCATGGGAATAGAACCACGATCGTCACGATAGCCAGTCAGTTCACTAATTTAGCTATTCTAGCTAACACGTAAACCAAGAATCAGTATTTTATTCTGTTAATTCTTTAACTAATTTCGCATGATGTGTATAACCTACTTTTATTCGAAGCCTCTAAAGCACTGTACTGTATCCATCCGTCTAATTTCAGATGTACGAAGTTGCATGACACATGAAGGAATCCACTCCGGAGCTGACAGTTCTGTTCTAAATCTGTATTCATCTAGTTTCACCACCGAAACCGATGAATCACAGTCACCGTAGTTGATACACACATCATAATAAGTAGATGTTATTCATCGCGTTTAATTAGGTCTACATCTGAATGAAAATATCTCAGGGCTTCGACTGTTTTAAAGATTCAGGAGGTGTGGTTGACATCCTATCCGTAAACGTGGGGTTCTAGGGTCATTAACCAAACTCCGGCGTGTGTAAGAAACATGAGATTTGTGATGATCGTCTGTTTACTTTCCATGTTGTTTTAAATATATTTTCTTAAAAATAAATGTACGTTTCTCGGTCCACTAAACCTCCGACTCTTCGAGGAGTGACTCATCCGCATGCCAAGTCTCCTCTGACTCTGACGCACGGAGCGATGACGCTTGAGAGACGCCATCTGTCGTCGTCGGACGGAGCATCCTCGTACTTGACCCTCGTTACCTAGCACTTAACAACCGACAGGGTTAATGACATTCAACTGTAGTACTTTGTGTAATAAGTAAATAAAAGTGCGGACTATTAAATGTAATCCCGTCGGCACGATATCTGATACTACTACTTTAATTCATTGACAAATTTCGTCTCAATGCTTTAAACCCTACTGCTAACTATGTGTGCCACTTGCTAAGCAATCAGTAAAGCTGCACTTTTTATTTATGGAATTCGTATGATTCCCACCTTTCACATCGATTATTTTAATGGTGAAGTGATGTGTTTACTTTGCGGTATGGACTGGATTATTAAATATTATTTAGACGAGCTCCCTCTTTAATAGAGTAATCGTCGCATATTGAAGCATTACTTTTTCCAGGTTATTTAATTACGATGTTTGTACTTGATGAATTTTATGGCGTTAGAGGAATGGGAAGAACTTCTTGAAGGGTTGGTTTACGCTATGAGGATTTGGAACGAAGCTGTTGTATATTTTAACATGTCATCTCGCAGTTTCTTGGAGAGGCAAGGAAACGCAGGAACAATTTGAAAATTCCTTGTGGCATGATCAATATTCGAAGTAGGTACGTCCCGAATACAAGTATTAAAGCTACATTTGAATATTAATTTTGGGGATTTTAACGTGGTTATCAGTAGCCCAAACTTTTGAAATGTGGTTGACTTTTTATGTGATTCATTTGTTTTAGAGTTCTCTAAACTCTTGACTAATTCATTTAATTGTGAGTACACACATATACACATTCATCATAAGGTATAATGACATGGTGTAAGCGACGTTGTCTCAAAACCTAGTCACATTATATTTTTGTACTTACAAACTATGAGTATTTCAGATGGCTCAGACCTAGATAGGTTGCCAGTGGATTTATTGGTTCTAGTCCAATCCCTTAATTCGGTGGGTCAGAGTAGCTATTTGTCAGCGTTTATAGAAAAGGCGGCAGGTGATTCTGCACTATTTGTCATACCGTGAGGGACGCATGTACAAGGCTTGCATGTTCCGAGGTCTTCATCTTACGTCTATTGGCCGAATTTCTACACTGCATGCTGTTCACAGCGTTTTCGACACTTGGTAACACCGCACTCAGGCTATTTTTTTTAAATAACTAAGTTTTTGCCTTGTCTGTGCAAACTACGGCTCTTGGATAACTGGTATTCTAGTTTAAGAAAGAAAGCAAACCTTTTTCAAGGAAAAAACTGTCGTCTGAAATATTATTTTCTCATAATTTAAGCCTAAGTTGTGAAAACCTCTGAAGAAACCAGCTATTATGAGTATCAAAGACTGACGCTGATTGGTTCAACTCTCATCACGTGATACAATGCTTATTTATGCATGAATGTTATAAAATCTTCTCGGGCGATCACTTGCACGAATGTTGAATCAAAAACCGACGTTTTGGAAATAGAATTAGTTTCCGACATGGCAAATCGCCCGAGAGGTTTCTGTAAGTTAAAGTTTGTAATAGCTCGATTAGCACTCGCCCATCGTCTGGTTTGAATCGTGGCTTTGTTTAACTGACGAAATGAGGTCTGTTTCGTCTCTGACATAACGCCTTGACCGTGATACGCCTGTACTCAGTGAGTCATTTCAAGCGATCGATTACTCGCCAAAGTTTTAAAATACCAAACGATTTGTCGCTTCTGGATAATTACATTTGTGGTTCTCGCGGCAGTGAAGATGAGTGTGTTGATCTTCTGAACTGTAACACAGTGCGTAACTTTACATCACTGCGTTGTACCGAGCCACTACTTCATACAACGTTTGTTTGAGGTAACCTTAAGTTAGCGCCATTTTTCGGTCTCTAATTACGGTGGTTTATAAATCTTGGCTTTTGACTGTTGCGTTCATGTGTATTTAATCGAATCTCTCACTCTTCATTCGTACAGACTCCAAATTCTATCGCTTTACGAGTTATGTAACTAAATACCATGGAAGTCAGTCATTAATTCAAGGACACGGTGATCCTTTTGTTAACGGATGGCTGTGAACAATGGTCCCAATTGGTAGATTTTGTAACTGATGACAGCGGCCACCAGGTTGCCTATGTGTAGCATATGTGCGGATAGTTCTGCCAAACTGCCAAGTGTGTCTACACACACCACTCATTTGTTTGGTATTTCTATGTGTGCAACCCTTTGTTAGTCCACTAGTCCCTATCTGTCTTCCTGCACACACATATCACTGAGTCAACATAACTAAAATTAAGTTTACTTACTCAATCCGTATGTTACGGGAATAATTTGCAACTGCTAAATATATTCTAAGTAATGTTATTAAAATACTTTAAATACCTGTAATTGTCACTATAATTATTATCGTATTTAATAAAAACTGTTGTAGACGGAACAAAATACGTACATTACAAGATGTATTATTCCTACACCGGTATTAAGCTATTTATAAGAAATTATTTCTTAGAAAACCACACATTTTTCACTTTTTACCTTTAACATAAGTCGCATCCAATGCACCATTACAAGGCTACATTACAAATCAAAGGACACAGATATCTCCTACATAAATGTACGTTATCGATAGATGTATAATATTCGAGAGTGTTTTCGTTATGAGTCCGTTGCATAAGATGCGTAAAATGACGAACAAAAATCACATTCGCCCTCGCCTCTGCTCACTTGCTATTGTCCGAATTTGTCCGATGTCTGTTTACGAAATTCCGCTTTTGGGATGCAATCCCATAATCATTAGTCATTAAGCTAATTTAATTTTGGTTTGTATCGATCTAACACATTCCATAATGAATAATGTGTCTGAAGGGTTCATCGGGGTAAATGTAGCATAAAGCAAATTTCATTTTATTTTAAATATTTTTGTGTTGTTAAACAGAAAATAAATTCTACAATTATATGGGAAATTTACTTTGAATTTGTTGCTGCATCCATATTGTTTTCGTTCTGATGGGCCTACTCTCAAGAAGTTGCCATGTTGGCATTATTTACGATAGGAAATTGAAACCCGTAAAGTCGATATGGGCTCTTATTGAAACCAAATTTCATGAAAATCCGTCGAATGAATAAGAAGTTACTAAAGGTGTAAAAAACAGACTTGATCACACCTAAGACTTAATAAAAACAGACTGGACCTATTGACCGCAATTAATACTAAACCACTACTACAGGAATCACAGCCGCTGACGCTCAGACGACCTTGAAAGTCGAGGTCAGCAGTAAAATCTGAGGTGGGAGTTTGTACCCACTCTCGATAAATGATGCCTGAAACCTCGGCTAGTCCTGTGACGTAACACTGCACTCGTCGTCCTTCAACTCCTTATTGCGTTGAGGAGTAACTGAGTTTATTGCCTGTACTCTTAAAATCGTCATGCGCAAACTACCAGCTTCGTCGCTAACCGACGCTAGTCCAGGATTACTTAAGAATTGAGCAAATTTCTATTGCAGCTTTTCCAACCCCATAGATCAGAGTTCTTGACAACCTGACAGTCGTTCAAGTGGTCAAGGAATTCCCTGCATTTTACGGAACTAATCCGTCGCCATCGGTCCCTGTACTGAAACGGCTGAGTACCGAGTCAGAGCAGAGACCGTTTGGCTACACGCTACGTTTTCACAGCTAAGAATTATTAGCCCCTGCCCCACGCCATTCCTTGCCGGCTGTCTGCAACTGCTTATTCAATATTTCTCAACTACTCGCCAAATTTGGAGGCCACAGCCTCCATCTGTAACCTGAGAACGCTCCATGACGTAACAATGGACCACATTAATATCTTCATTAAGTCCAGCTTAAGAAATAACAAAAAAATCAGAAGATGTCCCGTCTTCTGGGTTGTAGCATCATGTAGTCTGGTACAAGTTTACCAATGTTTCAGAGGCCCTTGCTGCCTCCATCGTCAGGGCGATATGTACTTATCGCCCTGATGATGGCCATCTTCGTACTCACCGACGCGGTAACCTCAAGCCCTACTTTTCACATTTATTATCGTGCTTATGTAACAAAGGGCTTCACTTATAACGTCCTGCTTTCAACTTTCAATAGCTGTGCGCTTTGATCTCGTAGCAATATAATGAGGTTCATATCATTAGCAGTAAAACAGCTATTATTTCCATGGACAACATTGACCAACTGATGTTTGTTTGAAATGCAGACGTAGAAAGTTTTTTTAAAGATATTATTTATATCAACTTGTGCTTCAAACCGTTAAAACTAGCTTCAGGATCTCAGTCATGAATAAAACCGTGGACTCGAAAGATGGCTGTTGAGTGGAATTACAGCGTCTCTGTGCTTGTTTTGCATTATATTTCAGTGACTCATCAATGCACTAGCTTCATTCCACCTTCCTGCTGCACACTGGTTTTTGTGTTCTGACTCTGCTCTATGTTTAGAACTTGAAATATAGGCCCCTGTGTGTTTTTGTAACTTTGAGTTGACTTTTTGTAGCATGTTAAGTATGAGGTCACACGCTGCGGTTACTTAGTTGCTGTAACTGGACCCCTGGTTTTTGTAGTAACAATATTATTTAAATTTAATACAAGTTTAATTTCTAAATCTGTTCAAACAATGAATTAGATGGTTTATAAATACAATGCAATAAATACAATGATTTGTGTTCAGTGGACTATTTTCAGAAAAATTCCGAGCGGAATGAACTATTTTTACGGAGCAGAGCTGACAGAGAATTTCACTGCCTTTTACAGAACACAAAGCTTTATTACTGTGTTTACAAAGTCCCACCAATTGACAAATCTTACGCCAGATGAATCCAATTCACATCTTATTTTCATTAAGAATCATCTTAATATTATCCTTTCATTCACACGTTGGAATTGAGTTCTAGAAGCATCGGTTCGAATCTCGACCGGATTACAAACTGAATAACGTTTTCAGCTGCCTTTCAGTGATTTTTCAGCGAATTCTGTAAAAGTTCCTTTGAGACAGACAATTTTCTGTTATATTATGAGAGAATCTTCATATTTAAGTTTCAGAGGAATGTCTCGCCTCAATTTTTTGAGTGTGGGCCATACGAAAACCCAGAAAACCGCCCACTTCGACGATCTTCTGTGGTATGACGTCCACACTGTTTAATGAAACTCCGTTCGATACTTTTTCTTACCACGTGAGCTTATTCACTACATCTCTCTCTTTCCATTCTTCGTTTTTAAAGTTTTGGAACACTTTGGTTCTGCAGCGACCAGACCCGCCGTCTGAAGTGGACCCGCGTCTGTGTTTTTTCACGTGGATTCTTTCAGACGGGAAGATTAATCGCCCGTGTGACTTCTGATTTAGAACAACTAACACGATTTTCGCTAGGTCTGATGCGTGTGCACTGTGGTGAGCATAGGATTTCATTTAATTCGAAGTGTTCATAAAATAACGTTGTAAACACTCTTGTTAATGTCCCATTTTGCGAGGCGAAAGATGAAAATTCCGCCCACTTTCGTTCAATGATTTTACATCAACACATATTTATCAATCGTTTTATATTCGACTTCAGTGGAACCGAACCCGAATTCCTTTTAATAATAAACTTTATGCTATTTAATAACTGCTAATCTGGAACAAATTCGTTTAGTATTAAAAGGAATCCAATTTTCAAAATAAAACAAAGGATTAAAATTGGATATTAGCAGCGCACCAGGAAATGATTTCCCGAGCTCAGTTGTAGCCCTGATGATGAAGGCAGCAAGTACTTCTGAAGAATTGACAAACTTCTACCAGACTACACGGACCAACAACTCAGATGGCGTCTTATCCCGGTTCCATTATTCGGTGATATACTTTTGTCTCATTAATTATTGTCATAGTGTCTTAAAAAGGTCGTCTTACCATCGCTAAAATATTTTACAATTAAATGGGCCCACTTTGTTTTCAGGTAACATAATTGTTTACATTATAATCTTATTTAGTGCGGAGATGGAGTAGATCAACTGGAAACTGAGAAGTCAACTAGCCTCAGTAATAATGAGAAACGTTGAAAATCGGAAAGTGTTATTCACTTTTGTGATTTAATTGCATTATTTATAATGCAGTCAGTCACAGTATTAACAGTTGAGAGCTAAAAGTACAGATCAGAAAGGAAGAAATTATAACCTGTGGTATCACTCAGACGTTCTGCTTACCCGATGGCACCATTGGACAGAGCCTGGGTGTGTTTGTTGAGGGCTTCCTGCACACTTTCTGGCGAGTACAGTCTGATGGGTGAGTTGAACTGCTTGTTCACAAGAGTAGGCGCAGCCCCTCTGCCCAGCGACATATTGGTGCACCACTGCTCGACCTGTAGGAAAAATAGAGTTGTCTTATGTTGTGACGGTGGGAAAATTGACCGGGTCTTTAAAACATATGCAACGCACATTCAGTGCAACACAGTAAACTTAAAGACAACAAATTAACAAATGTGTCTGACTTTTATTTTGAGGTATCCTGTTCGAATATCGTCCAGGAGAGCGGGTATGTTGCCCAAGGTTTCACAATGTTTTCTTTAGTCATTCCAAAAAAATGAGATGTCCACGCTCATTTCCAGTATTGCTCCCCGTTGCTTTCACGTTATATTCGACACGTCTCCTCAGCTGAATCAACAAGTGGCCGAATTTTTAAAAAAAATTAAACGTAATGAGAATCATGGCAGAATAAACGGACGATTTCGAGAGCTTTCTTGGTTCACTCGACGTTATGCAGACACGAAGGCTTGTGGTATCACTACCATGAGTGTCCCCGTAATAACATCTTATAAGTAGGAAATTCCATTGCTATACAACATGTTAGATTAATTATAGTAATCATTCTGATAGCATTTCTTTAATTTAAAACCGAACTTAAATAATCAAAAATGTAAGTCATCTCGATCTAGTTGTACACACCAAATGAAACACATAAGTGTAATGAAATTAGGTACTCGAATTATGGAGCAGAAATTATCGTGTTGGTAAAAGCTCTATAAATATATTCAGTAACTCACCGGTTCGAAACTTACCTGCGCTACGAGATATCGTAGCTGGTTTTCTGTAATTTTACTCAGTGTCCCGAGTGAATACCGACGCAGTACGTTCTCCTTTTTCGAAATTCTAAACTTCTTCAGAACAAATTAATTATCAATATCTCATTTAAATCTCCTCGAGTATAACTTCTGGATTCAATATAACGCCATTAAATAATGGTTACTCGTTATTAATTAAACATTACATGCGTAAAAGTTTAGGGCATTCAGTAGCGTTGATGAAATGTTTGTCAAACTGTCAGAATATTTAGAACGCTTTCTAGATAGTGAAGGAATTTAATTTACTCTTGGACATAAATGCAGGGACTGAGCACCCCCTCTCCCACCCTCAGATTTAACAAACCGAGGTCGCAGTTTTCTTGCCAAGTGCGTCACTGCAAAGTGACAAAAATACCCAACCAAGATAAAGGACTGTATTTATGTGACATGTAATTTCACAAGTGTTTTAAAACACTGAAGAAATTTGCATTAGTGTTTACTTTCGCTTGACCTGGTGTAATATAAATATCCTTAAGTTTCTGCCAAGCTACCACAAAATACGAGGGCATGTGACACATTTATTTTTAGTTTTAAAGGCTTTCATGACAGAAATCGTAATGGAAGTAACGTTGAATCTATAGTGAATGTTTAAATGTACCATAAAAACAAGCTACCATCCTTCAATCAAAAAATAACAAAGAACTCCGAAGCAAAGGTTTTAGTTCACATGTAGCACTTATAGAATTTATCTTGGGGGGGGGGGGGGTTCTGTTGTCTCAACGCCTTCAATAGAAATATGAGTTTTGAAAGTGACCTTACTTTGGTGAAATATTTACATATTTCAAATATGTTTATTTCAGTGCCCATGCTCTGATGAAGTATTTGTGCTCAGTCCTTTCTGAGGCTGTCTCCTTTCTGATATGATAAGCACAAAAGTTGCCCGATGTATTTATTTTTCGGTGTAAAGGAGTGAGTTATTTCTTTATGTTCTTGTACTTAAAAAATTTCAGCTAATACGAGAATAATTTTATGCTTGTGAATGATGGAAAATAGTAGTGGCATGTTTTAAGCTGTAATCATAGACAGATACACGGCAAACAGGAAGGATTCATAGTAAGATGTAGGATTCTCGTGACAAAACATTCTTCTCAGAGCTTTGTTCTCAAACACATTCGAATTACGGGGTTTTTTAGGGCGGGTAACCAAATTTAGCTCCCTTAAAAACAAGTAAATTTTTCTTCTGTATAGTTTATTAGCAATTTTTTACATTTTTAAATAGGCGTCGGGAAGATAAAAGATTTTAACTAAATAGTAACAATCATTTTCAGAATTCAGCCCGTTCTTTACTTCTCCATCAATGCAATTTCAATCTGTTTGTCCTCTTGTGTCAGAATCTATTAGTTACCCATTCAGCTTAATTTATCATATTATCTGCATGAAAAATTTCCTCTGTTGAGAGAAATTCCCATCGGATGTCCTGAAATGAACCCGTGTAGCTAATGCTCCTGGAATTAAATAGGCTGCTGCTTCGCTATAAAAAGTATAACGCTT